CTTTTTGTCTCTTGGAACTGGCCTTCCAGCAGCAAACCCTCTGTGTGGCCCTTCTTGCAGCCATGACGCTCCGCATTCCTAAACCTGCACTCCCTTCGTCTGTGTTGGCTGCCACAACTCAAACATGTCTGTGGATTAATTGGTTTACGTGGTGCTGAAAGGTATAATCCGCTGAATTTGCTGGTGATGATCTGATTCTTGATCTTTTTGGAGCAAGTGGACATTGCAAGAGAATGCCTGGCGAATTTCTCTCATGTTACGGGATGCTGCTTCAGCTGCCAAGGCTTTTTCTTGTGTAGCAGCCAAGGTCAAATTTGGTTCAGAGAGCAGGCGACATTGGATTGCTTCATTCCCACAGATAAGACAGTCACAAAGCAAGCCATCCAGGAGATCACCAAACTCACAAAATTCGGCAAGGCAAGAGAGCTCAGCCAGCTCATCTGCTATGCCTTCATAGGAGAATGCCTGGTGAATTTCTTTCATGTTATGGGATGCTGCTTCAGCTGCCAAGGCTTTTTCTTGTGTAGCAGCCAAGGTCAAATTTGGTTCAGAGAGCAGGAGACATTGGATTGCTTCATCTTGAACCCCACAAATGAGACTGCCATGAAGCAGGTCATCCAGGAGATCACCAAACTCACATAATTCGGCAAGGCAATGGAGCTCAGCCAGCTCATCTGCTATGCCTTCATTGACCTTTTGGTCCCCTTTAAAAAAATAAAATCTCTGCAGGGTAACAGATGGCCTTGGGCAAAAATGTGCCTTTAGCAGGGCAATTAGTTCAGCATAAGACATAGAGTTTGGCAAGGCAGGTGCTGTGAGGGAACGAACAATGGCAAATATTTTGGCACCACAGACTGTCAGGAGGATCACGCACTTGTGTGCTGGGTTTTCGACTTTGTTGGCTTCCAGGTAATAGGATAGCCTCTCAGCATAAGAGTCCCAAGAAGCCGGCTGGCTCACATCAAATGCTTCTATATGCCCCAATGTGGCCATTTAACTAACATGAGCCGTATTAGAGAGAAAAGAAGAAGAAAAAGAAAAAAACTTTCCTCTGATCACAAAACACAGCCTGGTCTCAGAATGTCGTCCCACAATCTAGGGGGATCTTCTCAGCAAAGGATCCCATCCTTGTAGCCAGATGAGATGTTGTGAGTTCAGCAACAATGCTCTGGACACTGCTGTGTTGAACTAACAGTCATTTATTATTATAACTCTCTGGAATCATATCGGGGGGGGGGATCTTAAAAGTTCCTTGTATATACATATAGAACTTATACTTATGTGTGTATATATATATATATATATATAGATGTAATATGTATATTATGTGTGTGTGTGTGTATACACACACACACACACACACACACACACACACACATAAGTATACATATACAATATATGTATGCAGAACTTATACTTGCATATAATGTATATGTATGCAGAACTTATACTTGCTCTGACCCAGTCCAGTCCTGTGGAGAGAGAGAAACCAAGACAGCCTCTGGCTCCTCATGGCAGAGACGATGGAGTCCCCAGAGCTGCAGAACTGCCACGAGCACCTGAATATGCAGTGCTGGACATGAGGGCTCTGGCCTTAAAGGGACAGTGCAGGGAAACACAATAAGACACAACAGCTACGGAGCGTACAAGTGATTCCCGAGAACATCAAATGTGAAAACAGGGATGGGAGTGTGGGTCAAAGGTTGATAACAAGTGCTCCAAGCGGGGGACACTCAGCAGAGCACACCCCTATCTGATAGGCCTATTTGATGTGCTGAAAGATCATGCCTTTAAGCCCATCACAGACTACTATAAGTCTCCCTTAATAAGGGAGGCCACTGGGGACACATCAACTAATTCCAGGAGACAAAAACAGGAAGGGAAGTGAGGTCATAAGATAATAAGGGACTTGGAAAGGGACACTGAGCAGAACACACTGGCAGCACCCACTGCCTCCTGAATAAGTCAAGAGAGCCTGAGTTACGGGAGCTCTCTGTGGATGCCAACCATTGAAACTGCCTGGAGACATGAGCTGAGAAGTAACAGAAAGACAGGCCCACACTTGCCCAGGTTCCTCCCAGCCAGAGTCTCCTTCCTGGTGTTGTAGATAGCCAGCTTTGCCAGTCATGATGTTGACCAGGAGGTCCCAGGACTTGGATGGGCCATGCAGGGGGTACAAAAAGGAAAAGGTGTGGGGAGAAGTGCAGCCAGAACCTCAGGAGGAGGTTCAGGAGAAGGTAGAAAAGGGGCTGCAATGTGGCACACTTGAAGTAAGTACTCTCCCAGACAGGGTACCCTTGAGGGGAGTGTCAGGAGTCAGGGCAGCAGGCAGGCTAAATTGCTCCCAGCTGAGCAGGCCTCGCTGCCATCAGCCTACTTCCAGCTGCCCCCAATTGCCTGCATAGCCATGGCTGCCTGCTTATAAAGCAGACCTCTTTCAGTATCCAGCAGTAGGGCTGTGTGAGGCTTCGGACAGAGCTTCGGATCCGGAGAAGCTTTGGATGCTTCAGGGTCCAAAGCAGCACATCTGGGTCGAAGCACTGCCTTGTTTGGCTTCCTGAAGCGCTTTGGAGCTGCCTCGGAGATCCGGCCATAGGGTATAATGGGGAAACAATAAAATATCTATAACCTTGTTGTTTTTTGTTCGAGATGGATGACGTTTTCAGGGATGGTAGATTCTGAAGAGAGGATGAAGCTTACCAACTTTCAAGAAGATCAGTGCAGGGGCTTGGGGAAAACTGTACCCCAAGTTATTGAAAGCAAAACTCCTGTCACGTCTATGTGTTACAGCACAGGGAGGTCAAAACTGCTGGGGAGGTAGCTCTTGCTGAGGCCACAAAGCCTGCCAAGTTTCAAGAAGATCGGTGGAGGGGTTTGGGGGGAACTGCCCCTCAAGCTGCGGACAAGCAAAACTCACGCCATGGGTGCTTGTGGGACTGACTGTGTCCGTCTTGGGGTGCGGAAGGGAGACACTGCAGGCCTGGCTGCTAAGCTGCTGTGTTCCCAGTTACCAATTAATCAATCATGATTCACTCAGGGACCAGGGACTCAGGGACCAGCTCAATACACGGGACCTAGCTACTACATTAGTGTCTTAATGAGCATCGATTAGCACCTACAAAACCAGGCTAAGGAGAGGAAATAATCAATACAAGACAATCAACTGCCCCAAGACAGACAGGGGTGCAGGGCCCCAGACTCCCCTGCATCGATCTCCTCCACAGCTGTCAGATGTCACAGCAGGGGCCACCATCCCTGCAGCTGTCACCCCGCTGCACCTTAACACACGCAGTGTCACCCATGGCATGGGTTTTGCTTGTCCACAGCTTGAGGGGCAGTTCCCCCCAAACCCCTGTACCTATCTCCTTGAAACTTGGCAGGCTTTGTGGCCTCGGTAAGAGCTACTACCCCTGCAGTTTTCACACCCATGTGTTGTAACACACAGCCGTGACATGAGTTTGGCTTCCAAGAATTTGGGGTACAGTTCCCCCCAAACCCCTATACCAATCTCCTTGATACTTAGCAGGTTTTATGCTCTCGGCAGAGGCTACCATCCCTGCAAGTTTCACCCAAATCAGACAAAAAACAACAAAGTTATAGATATTTCATTGATTCCCCGTTATACCCTATGGCCGGATCTCCGAGGCAGCTCTGAAGCTTTGGAGCCACTTGGTCTGGAGCTCCGGATCGGATCGTGGCCATCCGAAGTGGCTGGATCTGAAGCCGGATCGGATTGCTGCTGACTTGCACAGGCCTATCCAGCAGTAGGGGGTGTGCGAAGCGGGCCGGATTTGATTCAGATTCGGCCCAAATCGGACAGTGATTCAATTAGTTGATTCAGATCTGTGTCCCTGATTCAATTTGGCCGAATCCAAATCTGAAGATTTGATGCTGATTCAGAGAATCAGCGATTTGGACACAGGCACAGCTTTAAAAGTTTTTTCTACATACCTTGAGGTACCAGCACGGCTTGTGATCACTACAATTCTGGGGCGCATGGAGCGTCCCACAGGAATGCGGGGGCACCCTACACGTGCTTGGTGGTGAACCTTCTGGGTCTGCTGGGGAGTGCATGCCCCCCCCCACCATGTCTCCCCAGACTGGGGATTGGCTGCAGGGGGACCCAGGGTGCCCCCCCAGACCCAGGAGGCACCAGTCGCTGAGCCGGGGGGTGGGGTGCAGGGGGCCCCTCCCAGCATGCTCCCTGGCAGACCCAGAAGTGGACTGGAGGTGCTTCTGGTCCACTTCTGGGTCTGCTGCTGAGCACGCTGGGGAGCTCCCGTGCTTCTGTGGGACACTCCATGTGCCCCAGCATTGCAGCATTCACGATCCCCTGCTACAAGGGGCATGTAGAAAAAACATTTCAAGCTGTCTCTATGTCCAAATCTCTCTGAATCGTTTTGGAGGGTTTCAGTTCAATTCAGAGAGATTAAAGGGTCCTCTGATTCAATTTGGATTTGGAGATTTGGCCACCGAATTGGGCCAAATCGAATTGGGGACTGAAGCTTCACACAGCCCTAGCCAGCAGGCTGCTCAACAGGACAGATGTCTCTCTGTCTGGTCCTGGGCTTCTGACTCCTTGTTGGCTTTCTGTCTTCATCAGCAGGACCTGCTGTTTCCTGCTTGCTGACTCCTTGTTCCAGACTCCAGCCTGGATCCCTTTTGCTCCTAATTTGCTGACTCCTGACCTCTTAGGGCTATAGCTGCCTGTTCCAGACCCCCTAGCTAGAAACTCTGGTGTGCATCAGAAGTTCCAACATCCCTGGCTTATGACTGCCCAAGATAACTGCTTACTTCTCAGTCCCTTACAGATCTCAGCCCCTGACCCACTTGCTCCTGGTTCTGGACTCTAGTCTGGAGCTTCTCTGGACCTAATCCTCTGGGTTGCAACTCTGATTGCCCACATCCCAGTCTCACCCCCAACAAGAGAAAAAAGTGGGACTCTTCTGTCTCCATCCCAGCATGAGAGGTTCACAACGTAGAGTGGAGCTCAGACCTACCTCATATCTCCAGACCCCTCCGATGTCACTACTTCTCTCGAAGCAGGTAGGTTCGAGCCCCTCATCCAAGCAACACTTAATGGATAACAGCCCAGAAACACCAGCTCCAATAATTGCAACCTTCCTGTTTGCCATGAGGCTTGGTGTCTGAGTTTTGCTAGCCAACTAGCAGAAAGGAAGTCTCAGGATGCGTCTTCTGCAGACATGTATCAGAGCTCCAGAGGAGTCACAACTATTTGTGCTGTTCGGGTGAAGAAATGACCTGTGTCAGCGTGCTTCACTGGATGAGCTACTAGCCAGTGAGTGTCCAGCATGGATTACCTTGCAAAAGTGGGACCAGTTGCATAATTCACTCCTGCTGGGAATGCAGTCTGGTTCAGCTGTGTAATAAAACTAAGCATTTCCCAAAAACAGGCCTTACAGGGCTCCAGCAACTGCTCTGTAGCACCTATCCCACTTCATACCCTCCCCAGGGGGCTCACTCCCTTTGTTGTCCCCAAAGGACAGTGAGTTCGTGCCTGGTGCGCTTGTGCCAATAAACACACAGGGGTGAAGGATCCAACTTAATCTTTATTTCTGCGCAGAAAGTGGCGCTTGGCAATCATTCGCAAAGCAAGCACCCACACCCCAGTGGGTGTCTGCCTTATATAGCTACGTAACAGGTTAAACTTGCTGATGTGATGAAATGTGTAGCAAGCCCAGCAAGTAACCCCCCTTCCATCTCCGGAACTTTGTTGATACAGCTTTTCCTCTAGCGAGGCCAGCAATTAAACAACTAAGCAACAAGCGATCTCCCCCAGCCTAAACAACCTACTCTATGCCCTTGGTTAGATAAAATACTTTTT